AATTTTCAAAAAAAAAAAATGTTATTTTTTCTTATGAAATCATAGAGAATCTTTTTGTGAAGGTAATAAAACAAAAAGTACGAAATTTGGTGGAAAATTGACGAAATTATGCTCTCGCGAATTTTGATGTGTCAGCGATATTTATGAATCGGCGATTTTGCCGACTTTGACCCCCATTTTAGGCCAATTACATTATTCCAATCAACCAAATTCTTAGCTATTTCACTAGTATTACTTCTATTCTATTGATTGAGCACAAGAAATCGCCAAGTCAACTGTTTCAACTACAAAATAAAGTGATCGGAAATTGTTAATTTGGCCAATTTAACACAAAGTTCAAAATATTCCAATTTCAAAATAGGGTCCAGAATGAACAATGTAGGCATTCCTGGCACTAAACTAACATTTCCTCTGTTCATTAGTTATGTTTTGAGGCTTTACAAATAAATTCCATTTTGATTTTTTATTCACATAATGAATTTTTATTCACACAAAAAAATAGAAGATTTACTGTTATGCAATACTGTAATAATTGTATAAATATCATCACCATATTTGTGAATGTATATTAGACCCACCAGCTGACGTGTATTAGATGTGTGAGGTCGTTTGTTTACTCTTGAATATCGGCAAAAATTTAACATTTCCGCTACTTTGAGCTCAGTTTCAAGCCATTTCCAATGCTAAAACCAATCAAAATCATCTCTATTTCTGTAATATGTCTTCCATTCTATCAAATGAGACCAAGAAATCGCAAATACAACTATAAAAAACATACGAAAAAACACTGCAAATTTGCTGTTTTAATCGAAAAATCATGATTTCATTTTTTTCTCTCGTTATACACAGTGTGCTGCAGGATCTGTTTTATGTGGTGCACACATACCACATAGATGTATTCTCTCATATCTAGGCCCAAATGTATCACTCACAGTTTATCAGAGTGAGCTGAGCTCATGGCGTAGATCTACGGTTTGGACCCTGAACGTAAAGCCATAGATCTACGGGACGGACCCTGAAAGGGTTAAAGGATTCTCTACCATTTTCTTAAAAAAGAAAATGGTAGAGAATCCTCTTTCTGAAGGTAACATAAAATGCAAGAAAAACTTACAAAATTATGCAGATGCAAGGTTGACCATCTAGGTACACAATTTATGCATCAGCAATTTTGCCCATTGAGTTCTATTTTAACCAAATTTCATTGCTCAATTTCACCCAATTCCTAACTATTTCACTATTATGCCTTCAGTTATATCAACTGAGTGCAAGAAACTGCCCACTCAATTATCAGAAATACCCTATAAAGTGCACAAAAGTTAGTAACTTGGCCAATTTTACACAAAATTCAACAAATTCCAATTTAAAAAGTACAAATAAATACTATGTATTTCAGCCACTAAAGCAACCTTTCCTCTGTTCACTTATCACATCTCCATGCTTCTCCTATATAACACTTGCCCTCCATTTTTAATCCATCATCACAAAAAACTCAAAGATTCAATTTCTCAGATAATAAAATATAGACCAGAATGAGTGGTCATGGTTTAGATCTTACCAATAACTGAAGCAGACCTAGTAAAAACCCATAAAACATACTGACGGAGGGGGAGGGGAAAATTGCCCAAACTGAATATTTCTGCCACTTTCAGACCTATTTTAAGTTACTTCCAGTTAGAAACTGGCCATTATAATCTCTATTTCACTAGTATTTTACATTTTATAAAAAAAAAAACTAACAAAACCATAAATCTTTCTTTCAACACACCAGCCGTATCCCACCGAGGCGGGGTGGCCCAAAAGGAAAAACAAAAGCTTGTCCTTTTACATTTAGTAATATATACAGGAGAAGGGGTTACTAGCCCCTTGCTCCTGGCATTTTAGTTGCCTCTTACAACACGCATGGCTTACGGAGGAAGAATTCTGTTCCACTTCCCCATGGATGTAAGAGGAAATAAACAAGACAAGAACTTGAAAGAAAATAGAAGAAAACCCAGAGGGGTGCATGTATATATGCTTGTACATGTATGTGAAGTGTGACCTAAGTGTAAATAGAAGTAGCAAGATGTACCTGAAATCTTGCATGTGTATGAGACAGAATAAAAAGACACCAGCAATCCTACCATCATGTAAAACAATTACAGGCTTTCGTTTTACACTCACTTGCCAGGACGGTAGTACCTCCCTGGGTGGTTGCTGTCTACCAACCTATTACCTAGGAAAACCATAAATACTGCCATAAAAAACACCTCAGTCACTATTTTACACCAGAGGTTCGAGGTTTGCTTTTCTCATCATGCACTGCATGGGGCAGAGATTTTTCTGTTTTATACTGTGCACATTCACCACATAGACCCATTGTCTCATGTTTAGGTCAAAATTTACCACTCACAGCACATCTTAGGGCATTATGCTTTAAATGTGATCTGTATGAGCAACACTGGCATCAATAACATAGATCTACATGGGAGACAGTGAAAGGGTTAAAACATTAGTAGTAAGATTATTATCTGGAATAATCTTGAAAAACAAAATTAGAAAAAAGTGTTGATATTTACAATGTACAAAATTACTATGAAAGGCAACACTACAAATACCACAAGAAGATGCTTAAGTGTGTCTGTATGTTAATATTTTCACTGTAGCACTTTTTAACACAATGTACGTTTATTTCTTACCATTTGCATATGTTTTGAAGGAATTAAATTTGAGTTAGAAAGCATATTATTCACATTAATATACAACAACTATCATTGGAATCAACAGGAATAGAGTCCTAGATGCACTGGATACTATTATTATCAGCATTTCACCTACACAGACTGATTTGGTTAATCCCACTGTGGGCAAAGCATTGTAGCTAATAAAAGTATCACCTGCATCCGTGCCATTTATTCCACCTTGTCAGTATTTACACACAATTCCAGTTCCAGGAATAGTCTATAATTCATACATTCCTAAACAAAGTTAGAGGTGTCATGAAAATAAAGTTGCACATCTATATTCAACACTATCCAAAAAATTATGTCCTACACTTAATGAGATTCACTGTATTACAATAAAAGCAAAAACTCGAATCAACGTCAACTTGACAGCATTTTTCACATCAGCATATAATCTATAACAAGGAGCTGTATTAAGACACATCTATATTGTGCTTGTACCTCAGGTTACCTAATTTAAAATACTCTCAACATTGTCTTTGAAAACTGCAAGAACTCCCACACTAAAGGGAAGTGTAATGCATTAACTTTTTCATTTATCCATTATTAACTGAAAATTGGTAACACTAATATGGTACATTGTACATTCTGGGCTTTTCAGGGTGTGATTTAGTATTAATAGCATTAAAATAACCTCAGACTTATTAATTGAGATTCTTAATTCATAATCTTTTTGTATCAGTGATGTATACCTTATCTCTATAAGGGAACAACAGAGATCCGTTACAAAAACCTCACACATACATGTTTCAGTGCTATTACATCACACTTATTTTTTGTCATACTTTCATTACTTCTATTAGACAATGTTTCATAATAATTACACAATGTTTCTAACAATATATTAAAGATTTTCAATTACCTTCATATCCTCTTAAGATAAATTGGGCTTTATAACATTCCCAGTTCCAAATAATCAAATATATCAGAAAAATCACAGATCACATCCCATACATGGGCGCCGTACTGGTTCACATAGCAGCAATGGATATATTCTATCATCTCTATTTATCAGTGCAGGGGAGGACCACTATCGTTGTGTGTATTAAAAGGTACATAATAAAATAACACCAAGCTCCTACATAAAGTTAAATAGTAAAATAAAAGTAATCTTTAATACTGAAATATGTGAATGCCACATAATTCCAGAGTATAGAAGGAAGTTAGTATAATAATGACCTCTTTACATTACCTAGAAGAAACCCGATATAAAATATAAAGCTACCTTCAAGTATATGAAGAAACAGATATTTATTTGCCCAAAAGTTATTACTTGAATTTTTTTAACAAAATCTTGCATTATTATCTACAGTGGTACCTTGAGTTTCGAACAGCTCCCAACTCAAACAATTATGTAAGTGTATTTTTTAAGTGCTTTTGTAAGTGAATTTTTTGGGGGTCTGAAACAGACTCATCTAATTTACATTATTCCTATGGGAACAAATTCATTTGGTAATGGTACTCGAACAGCCTTCTAGAATGAATTTAGTTCATAACTTGAGGTACCACTGTATTTTAATAATTATGAAAAGTTCATTCTTCAAATCTTCAGCTTTTCTTTCTACTTCCATTGGAAAATTGAGAAAGTATGTTTTCCTGCTGCCATATGCATCAAAGGTGGCATCTAAATAGCCAGGAATAATGGACTGGATACTACTCTTCTTGTAAATAATAACTAAAAAGACAAAGCAAAAATTCTTTAAGCTGTGCTGTTTTTGACTATGCATTGATATAAAGAAAACACGGGTTGCAGATATATGGTAAATGAAACTGCAGCCAAGATAGTGCTGAGTGAAACAAATCTCAAAGGATTAGACAAGTTCAAAGGAACATTCAGGGAATTTCTAACCAAAATGCAAAAGGGCAAAATGCTGCTGTTGAACGTGTAATAAGCAAGTTTTGAATGCCTTTCCTAAGTGCAGATAAATAATGAGAAGGATGCTAGAAAGGTGCAGTGTATATTCATGAATAAGGTTTGTAGATGAATGGTTCAGAGAACCGACATGTTGATAAATTAGACACATGTGCAACTCTTGGGTATCTTTATTGAGGAAACGTTTCGCCACACAGTGGCTTCATCAGTCCATACAAAGGAGAATCTTGAAGAACAGGAGGAGAATGAGGTAATCAGTCCCTCAACCTTGAGTCGATGTGGTCAGTCCATCAATCTTGAATAGAATAGGTATTCTATTCAAGATTGATGGACTGACCACATCGACTCAAGGTTGAGGGACTGATTACCTCATTCTCCTCCTGTTCTTCAAGATTCTCCTTTGTATGGACTGATGAAGCCACTGTGTGGCGAAACGTTTCCTCAATAAAGATACCCAAGAGTTGCACATGTGTCTAATTTATCAACATGAATAAGGTGTAAGAGTACTGTAGGTTCAAGAACATAAATAACTGGTATGAGTTACAAATTGTAGTAAAGAAAAAAAGTAACATATTTAATGGTTTTACAGTGTAAAAAGTACATGGTAAGCTACTGTATGTGAAAAAAAATTGAGCAATTAAAAGAAGCAATACATAGCAAAATGCCAGAATGAAACTCACTGAAAATTTAGAGAAAATTTTGGAGAAATGTTGTTTAAAAAGGAAATTGAGAGAGAGCAGATGGATGTGTATAAGGAAAAGAAGTGGACTATTAAATAAGAAATAACTGTAGGGGAAGGAAGGCGGGGTAGGGATCAGCCCCGAAAAGGATGGAGGGGGGTAAAGGAGATTTTGTGGGTGTGGGGCTTGGACTTCCAGCAAGCGTGCATGAGCGTGTTAGATACGAGTGAATGGAGACAAATGGTTGTTTGGACCTGATGAGCTGTTGGAGTGTAAGCAGGGTAATATTTTGTGAAGGGAGCCAGGGAAACTGGTTAGCCAGACTTGAGTTCTGAAAATGGGAAGTACAATGCCTACACTTTAAAGGAGGGGTTTGGGATATTGACTGTTTGGAGAGACATCTAAACTGTCGTATCTGAGCGCCTCTGCAAAGACAGTAATTATGTGTGAATGATGGTGAAATTGTTTCTTTCCTTTATTTTTATGTTTAATTGTTTCTTTCCTTTATTTTTGGTGGGAGATGGCCAATGTGTTGAAAAAAAAAAGTGAATTACTCAAATTATGTCGATGAACGTTTATAGGTGGCGTATAAATCTGGGGTATGAAAGAGGTGCCTTGGGGTAGAAGCTTAAATATCCAGCAGGCAAGTGTGTGAAAACAAAGAGAGTGCATGAAAATAAAGTGGGGATGATGCAGTGTGGTAGGTCAACAATGGCCTGTGATATCTGTGCCTTTTTGGAAAGATAACCAGTGTGTGATGGCAAATATTTTCCTTGACCCAGCCTGTCAATGTGTAACCAAAATACTTTTTTTTTTCAACAAGTCGGCAGTTTCCCACCGAGGCAGGGTGACCCAAAAAGAAAGAAAATCCCCCAAAAGAAAATACTTTCATCATCATTCAACACTTTCACCTCACTCATACATAATCATTGTCTTTGCAGAGGCACTCAGATACAACAGTTTAGAAGTCCCTCCAAACTGTCAATATCCCAGACCCCTCCTTTAAAGTGCAGGCAGCATTGTACATCCCATTTTCAGGACTCAAGCCCAGCTAAATCTATAAAAATGACGGTTTCCCTGAATCCCTTCACTAAATAGAATGAAATATATTCATTCATTTTAAGGTTGTCTGAATTACTGAGCAACAACTGTTTTGGAGAGAGATGAATAAGATGAGAAAGCATGAAGAGTAAATAGACTTAGCAGTTAAAAACAAAAGAGGGAAAATGTTAGATAGGGAGGACAATGTATATTGGAAAGATGGAGAGGAATATTATGATAATGAAGACATGTGAAAGCAATAATTTTCTAAATAATACATATAACATGCACAACATCAAGGCACACTTATTACAAATCTGAAAGAGGTTGCTTCCAGCACCGTTGATGAAATTTATGTATGAAAGCAAAAAATATTAATTATACAAAAACGAAAAACAAGATTGCTTTGAAGGAACTTTCCACAGGAGCCATCACAAGAATGAAACAAAAAAAATCAATAAAAATGCATGTGAAGGCACCAAAGAAATAAAAACAGAAGGGAGGAGTTGAATCAAACTAAAACAATACAGCAGAGCACATGATGTCAAAGTACTGAAAATAGTATGGTAAGAGATAACACAACATGATGTCAAAAGGCTTTAAATTTGCTCCTTTCAAATAAAGAAGAATTACCAACAGACCCCTTACTGCATTCAATAGGGAATTTAACAGATTTCTACAAAGCATCTTAGATCACCTACGTTGAACTGCAAGCTACAGGCTCCAGCAGGTTAGTTGAAACAGTTCTGATATCGGGTTGTCAACAAGGTCTTGTAGAGTGGATTGTGAGGGATCCCCAGAACTATCACTGTGTAAACACAAGACAAGCAGACAAGATATCAACACTTTATTAACACGAACTCAAGATTTTCACCCATTTTCCCCAACTTCAAATTTTTTTTTTTTCCACAGACAATACTCTTTACAGTGAAATAAATATAAGCCCTATTAGATATTGTACATTCTTTGGTGAAAATCCACACCACATTTCAGTATGCCTTGATAAAAGCAAAGGCATCAGAAATTTTCAACAGCAAATGTCTGCAATGAAAAATTAACATTAAGGTTCATTTGAAAATCTGACACACCACAAATTCTCATCACAATCATACACAAACATTCTAAATATGCCAAAACTGGCTTTAATTATAAACTTTTAAAAAGGTTATGCCAGTGAAGTGTTTTAAGCTATTTTCAGTATAAGTAGAAAGATAAATTGCTAAAGGCAAATTTCATTGCCAGTGTGCGTATCACTAACTTATACAGTTTAGCAAGAGGATGGGTAGCAATTCATACAGTTTGCACACTACATCACTAATTTGCCTGTAGGTCTTGCATACTTTAGAAAGTATTACCACCATATATTTACAAGCAGGTGCTAAACCCACAGAGGTCACACACTGCTTATGGAATAGCAGGTAATCGGGTTTGATCTGAGAGGAAGATCCAAGTAAAAAAGGTAAAGATGCACTTGTTCATGATGTAGATGTGAGAAAAAATGTGGAACTACAATACCTCCATTGATCAGCAGCAAAATCTTCTGCAGGTCAGGTATTATCATCACGAATACCGAGATATCTTAGTACGTAATTTTGGAATACTGTACAGTACTGAAGTTTCCATTTCCAGATCAAAAATATATTGTTTTTTCACAGGAAAATCTTACAAGATGAATGTCAAAATTTCAGACTGAAGCAAGAACTCTTGTAAATTTATGAGTGCATCATCTCTGACTGCAGCTGCATAAGGTAAAATTAATCTTTGTTTATCATGTTTCTAATTACTGCCTTTTTAAATGCAATAATTTTCATGGGGTGCTGAAAACCAACACTCTAAAAAATAATTATATGATGGCTCGATAATTATAGGATCATTAGCCAAGTCTACAGCACAATGCAGTGAGGTGTAGTGCTGCTTGTAAATTAATATGGTATTGTATGCCCTGTTGGGACAGGAAACCAATGGCTTATTGTGAAGTAGTATCTTCAATGTCATATTTCCATTGTCTGGCCCGACCTGAAGGTGCCGTACTTGATTGACTAGTTAATGAGCATTTTGCACATTGTGAAACTAATGGATTTGTAATATAATGAGGTGTGGAAAAGTTTTATGCAGGAAAAAGCTCAAGGCTGCCTAAAAAGCTTGTTGATATCTGATTTACTGCTAAGTGCTTAATTCCACATTATATTTTGAATAAACATTAGAAACTCTACACTTGAGCATGCTTCACACTAAATTTTCCTAATTTTGTCCCAAACTGTTGAATGATAATTTTGTTATAAGTAAAAATTATATCTACTCTATCAAAAACAATAAAACACATGAGAAACTGAAAATTATCTTACAGTATGTAAGTAATGATATTAGTCATGTACAATAATTTCCCCATTATATTACTGAAATGCTCAAGTTGCAATTTTTACCAATTTCAGGAACATATAGTCCCCTATTTGCTTTAGTGTAACTAATAATTATATAAATTAATATCTGCAAACCAAAATGAGAGGAAAAATTGTCACAATGTTCATACTGCAAACTGATGGTTATACATATAATTAATACAGACAAAAGCTTACACATACACACCTAACACAATCATTATTCTCAAAGTATTCCATCTATGCACACAAGAAATAATTAACTAGTATACATTTACACACAAGCAACATCTTCCATGATAACTCATTCTCACATACAAACCACTATGCATACATGACAACATTACAGAAAAATGATTTACAATAATGAATTATAATACATCAGTTTAACTGTACTAGCATTCACATGCATTTTGTTTCCAGCTGCCAAGCAAAAAACAACTAATTATTCCATAATTTATACCTGCAATCACAAGCATGATATTTGTAGCTGCCAAGGAAAACTAACAATTATTGCTTTCAAATATTTAAGGCTAATTTGTAGGAACAAAGCTTGTAATATATGACATCCTGTTATTTATTCTATATTCAGTTGAAATCACCATGGTTTCAAAAACCTACAATATGTGACAATTTGCAGTCATTATAATTTTCTAATATTGGTGCTGGTAGTGTAATCAATCAACACACACATAAGATGTTAGAACTCTCTAGTAACCCCTTCTCTTGTGTAAATTACTAAATGTAAAAAGAAGAAAAACTTTTGTTTCTTCTTTTTTGGATCACCTTGCCTTGGTGGGAGATGGCTGGTGAACTAGAGAGAAAAAAAAAAAAAAAACTTGAGTATGCAATGAAATCTCACAAGACTGCAAACATTCCATAAGTTTTTCTATACAGAAATCACAAAATGATTTTTGTGATTTTGTTTTTTACAATGGTCACATGTTCAACTTAACAATTTTGTTAAGCTGAGCTACATAAAAGTAAAACTCTTAATAATTTCTTAGTATTTCAAGCAAGGAAAAATCTTTAATACAAGATACAGTAGCAGTGCAGTTATCACAGGATGACAATCAAGTTATCCCAAGTTTTAATCACCACTGAAGGAGAGGGATAAGTACTAATGCAGTTTAAACTTTTGGTATCTTTTTTTAGAACACTGTCAAAAATACTTTCAAAAGTATCCAGCCAAATGGGAGGATATACTATATTTTTATTATTATTATTTTTTATTATCACACTGGCTCATTCCCACCAAGGCAGGGTGGCCCGAAAAAGAAAAACTTTCACCATCATTTACTCCATCACTGTCTTGCCAGAAGGGTGCTTTACACTACAGTTTTTAAACTGCAACATTAAGACCCCTCCTTCAGAGTGCAGGCACTGTACTTCCCATCTCAGTATACTATATACTGCATATTAATCTCACCTGATCTTTGAAAATGGCTCTAAAGGCTGCATGATTGGATTTATGACCATCTCAGAACAGGCTGCTAAGTAATTAAATTGACAAATAAGTTCTTGCTAGTGACTTAATCCCTATAAAAATTTGAAGAGTCTCATCAGTAAATTCCGAGTTAAAAGGCTAAGCCAAGGATTTATACATGACAACAGTATTAAAAGAAAAAATATCTTGATTACAAGCCAATTACTGTAATTAGATGATCATTAACTTTTTTTTTTTTTTTGCTGCAAGCAATATTGTACGAACAAGCAAATAAGCATGAAGGTAACAAACAATGCTTTCATCCACCTTCTATCTGCTAACATTAGAATCTTAGCTTGGAATAAAAGGCATAGTTGCCTTTCATACAACTTACCACTGAGTTAATTACAAAAGAACATTGTCACAATGTTCTTTTGTTATTATCATTTAAAGTCAGCTTCTTTTTTCATGTTTACACATTGAAACATCTGAAAGATTCAAGATTAATATAGAGTTTCCAGATTTAATTTTGCTGAAGTCAATTTTTAATTGTTCATTTACTGTTTTTACCTGGAAAAGTTATGGTCCCATGCTAACAAGTCATCCATATTCTGATGCATTTTAAAACAAATTCATCATGTAAAAATATTATATATTGAAAAATATGCTTATTTTTACAAAAATGATACTTTCTTTGATCATAAATTTATTCAGTTGTACTGTACCATTTTTTCCATATGAAAGTAAAAAATAAAAAAATAGAACCTATTTTTTTAAGCAATTTGGCCCTATATTTTAAACCATTAATAATTAAAGCTACTTGCTTAGCTCTAATACTAAAAATGGCATTAAATAATGTAATCAACCAGTAATATCACTGATATAAGATACGTGTACTTGGCAAGGAACTAGAATCTTTTACGGAGTTGCAGGCAACATGTGTCATGCTGGCCAAGGTTCTGGGAACACTAAATGGAAAAAGGAGAGTAATGCCTAACAAAAATCATCTCAACAAAACTCAGTGTAGCAAAATTATGCTAAAGTAGTCCATATGATACTAAATGCTGTGTATCAATACTGAAAGCAGTCACTCCCCTGCACCTTCTGCCTCATCTCAGAAACCTGGTTTATCAATAATAGCCACACCAGCATATGATCTGCCTATACCCATGTGTGCTGGTAGAAGTGTCCAAACATCTGTTTTAGGATTGTACACCTCCACTGAGGCCAAGTTGGACGTACCATCATCTCCGCCAACAACATACAGTAGACCATTTAAAGCAATCACACCTGCAATTTTGATGTTTTTCAATATATATACTTTGACATAATTAACTATTCAAATATATAGTTTATATTACTGGTACTGATACAACAGACAATTTTATCTAGTATAAACATAGTCTACACTATTGGTATAAACATAAAAAACGTATTTTATTTGGGTAAAATAACCGAAAAGTACAGTATGAGCAAAGCTTCAGTAAAACCTGGGAGTTAGGAACCTGAATGAATTGGTTAATTAAGTATATGAAGAGTTCAATCAAAAACTACCAAGTTCATCAGCCCTATTAACTCTTACTAATCATCCAAGAAAAATAATAAAAAATCTTACCAGCATTTCTCCGGCAAAGATTCATATCCGCTACAGGGCTCCAGCTATTGGTATCTGGATTGTAAACCTCAACACTTTTCCTCACAAGTGGCCCATCATGGCCCCCAACAGCATAAAGGAGGCCATCCAACACTCCTACACCTATACATGGAAAGATTTACTGTACAGTACTGCAGAGTATAATTATATTTTTCATGTCACTCAAGGTAAGTTTAATCTCTCTTTACTTTGCTAAAATTTATATTCTTCATATTACTGAAAAAAAATATCTGAATTATGGAAGATGTACATAAAGAACGGGTTGTCCATCTAATAGTTCCTGAAAGAAATTAGAACAAATTAACCTAACATCATAATGCCATGTTAGAATCATATACATATCAAGTATAGTAGTTCACTTGTAGGCCAAAACTGTTTCAAGCAGAGACATATTTCAACTGACAAAAACATGCTGAAAGAGCACTTTTAGCCTGCTTAATGTTTAGAAGCCAAGCAGATCTGCCGTAGTCTTGGTACTGTACTGACTAACTTTTAGACTGATGAGTGGCACATCAGTTGACCCAGCTGATTAAGGAGTCTTCTTACATTATAAACACAAGTCAAGAGAGAATATTAAACATTTTATAAAAGTACACATTATTGCACCATGAATCTGACCAAGATTTTTAATTCTATTATACTCTCATTCAGCCTGCTGGGTCCTTTGACTGATAAAGAAGATACACCAGTGAAAATTGCAAAAAAAAAGTACCAATACAATGGTACTAGGAAATGGAGGTGGGGAGAGCATATATAAACCTCATGTTCTCCTCTGTTGAAGTAGGTAAAGACAGATTTACTCCCACTCATGTACCTGTGAAAATGGTACAGACATTTCTATAATGGAAAAGTCTATAATGAGTACATGTGCAAGTTTATAAATGGTACTGCATTGTTGATCATTAAAAGAAGCTCGCCTTGATACTGTACAATAATAAGTTAGATTGGGCAATATGACACTGCCATCTGCTGTAAGGTTTTTGTCCTCATGGGTGATAAACAAGACCAGTATATGGGCTTCTCATGGCAGTAAATTGCTTATGGATCAACATTATTTCCAGTTTCATCACATTTAACACAAAAAAGTAAACACAGGGGGGTAAGCATAGGTTATGAAAACTTCCCTTGCATTGGATGCTAATGCACATAATGGCTGATTTATTCCAACCTGTGCACTTACAATAATTGGATGAAACATCTCAAATATAGGAGAGCTACTGCTAAGTATATGTTCAAGTTTATAAATAGCACTACACTGTCAATTATTATTTAAGGGCTGCACTGTAATTGTACAGTATGAAGTTAGAAAAGGCTATATGACACTGCCACTGGCTTCCCAGGATGATTCACAATGTACAGACATTATCCTCAGTCTCATCATCCATCAAGAATGATTCTCAAACCATTTACTCCAATTCTTGTTCACAGTGTAGGTATGTACATACACACTAGAATTGCAAGAGAAAAGGAACCACACAACTTTTGGAATTATTTCTTGGAATTTTTAAATTTTTGGAAATCCTTGCCTTTTTTTTTATTATTAATTAGGTACTTGGACCTAACAGAAAATTCTGGGTTTCCAATAGTCAGCTGTTTAGGTGAACTCTACAATTCTATTTTCAAAAGAATTTCCACTAATGTCTGCATGTAAACCTAACCAATTTAGTGCAAAATAATACTTAGTAAGACAGTATTACTACTTTGTTTCAAGTTTTACAATTACACCGTTCATTTTACATTAACAAGATATGCCTAGTCGTACAAGTACAGGTGCGTTAATACTGACAAAACTGCTGGAATAAGAAACATGCACAATCAAGACATTACCAAAAGAGATATTTTGCCAATAGTTGCTTTTTCAATCTTACCACAGAGAGAGAGGCGTGACCCAGAATAACAGATAAAGGACATGTTGAAAACTAGTGGGCAGGGCTGTGTACTTCATGCATGAGAAGGGCTAGATATAAGAAGGCCCTGCCTAGCATGGGCCAGAAGGCCTACTGCAGTTTCCTCTACTCTTGCATCACTTGACAGAAGTGTTTTGGTTGGGCAAAAATCATTTGGCAAGGATACTGGAGATGCTCAAGTTCCTTGAGTTTTGTGTAGTAGTGTTTGAAATTCAAATCATTGAGGTTTCCAGGCACTGGTGTCTCATAAAATCACTCTCTTTAATAAGTAGTAGTTCTCCCTCCAACCTCATGTGCACTTTGTATACTGTAGTACTGTGTTGGACACGTGTTGTTCATATCATCACAGCTACAGGAATATTAGTGCTCTCTAACATGTTTGTCCATGGTCTTGGCTGTTTCACACAAGGGATCCTATATATATACTAGCATTGGTTTCTGCAGTGTTTACTGGTTTATAGTTTAGGATGATCTTCATGGATCGCACCTGACATCGTCTGCTATATATAAACGTCTCCTTCAATGTCTCAACTGTGGATGTGTCTTATTCCTATGCAATATACATGGATATGATCCAGATGGTTGGGTGCAAGAAGGCTCTTCCTATCATGAGCCTGTAAGCCTACTGTAGTGCTCTCATATTTTCATGTTCTTATATATTTGAAAAAATTCATATAATGATTCGACTACAGACAAAGTCTGAGGTGACAAGCAAAATACTCAATTTTTACCTCGCAATCTCAGAAAAGGATCACGGGGAAGAGAGGTAAGACTAGGTTACATCTCTTCTCAGCTATATAATGGGACATACAGAACTTAATGCTTTATAACTGATGAAATATTCCAAACATTATCCATGAAATCCACTTCAACGGTAAGTCAAGAGAAATGTTGAAAGCAAATAACTTTCAAAATGTTTGATGGTACCTAACCTACAGGCACCACTAATAATTTACAGAAGCACATTCTATGGTAATAACAGAAAAAAATAATGGATTTTATGTGCTTAAAGCTGATTCAGAGAAGTGTGAGAACACCACTGGTACTGTTGTAAGCATCACTGACCTGCTCCACTTCTGCGTGCTGACATCTCTGCTACAGAAGACCACACATCAGAATCTGGACTGTAACATTCTACTGATGCCAAACATTGTCGTGAGGCTCCATCATACCCACCAACCTTAAACAAGAGGAAAATTTAAAGTGCTGGCTAAACACTGTATTTTTGCCACTCATATAGTTATGCATTTATTCCTTCAGACATGTAACTTTTTAACACACTGGTCTCCCACCAAGGCAGGGTGACCCATAAAAAAAAAAAAATTCACCATCATTCACTCCAACACTGTTTAGCCAGAGGTGCAGAGATACTACAATTCAGATGTGCCTCCAAATTGCAAATATCACCAAACCACTTTCAGAGTGCAGGTACTGTACTTCTACCATATTTTAAGAGTAATATTTTTTTAACACATCAGCCATTTCCCACCAAGGCAGGGTGACCCTAAAACAAAGAAACACTTATGTCATCACTCACTCTATCACCATTTTTCCAGAGGTGTGCAGATACTATTAATGTCAAAAGATTTTCCTAAAAGTTCTCTGAGGGTGCTACAGACACCTCAGTAATTATAAAAACATGACAAAGGTGGAAAGGCCTAAGCCATGGTTCAGGCTTGCTACTTGACCACTCAACACCTGACACCTTAGACCTTGCACACTCTGCACCTGACTTTGCGGATGTACAATATGTTGTGATTTTTTGTCATGTTTATGTACTTTACAAAGTCAATTTGTGTTGAAACATTGTGCAATAAAGCCTTCTCTGCAACTGAGTCTCGCCTATGCAGTTTAAGGGGTAAGCATACAGTTGAATTAATTTGCAGTGTGTTACATTCCTAGAGGTGATGTAAATCCTGAAGCTATATCTTCTGAAATGGTAGAGAATTTTTTTCTAAAATAATGACACCAAAAGTACAAAATTTGATGAAAAACTTATGGAATTATGCAAGCGTAAAGTTAGCGGTAACAAGGAATTTGCACAGGAGTGATTTCAACCACTTTGAATCCTATTTTCAGCTAATTCCACTGCTCCTTTTACCAAATTCTTAGCTATTTTCCTAGTATACCTTCTGTTCTATTGACTGAGCACAAGAAACTGCCCATTCAACTATTTAAAGTTCCCTATAAAGTGCACAGAATTAGTAATTTGGCCAATTTTACATAAAAATAAAAAATATTTTATAAATAAATCCAAAATAAACACTGTAGACATTCCCGGCACTAAAACATTACAGCCTCTCCTCTCTTAGTGACATACTTGTTTACCGACGCCTCAGACTTACGACAGGCACTCTGACCAGTATTTATACCTTTTTTTTTTTTTTTTTCAACAAGTCGGCCGTCTCCCACCGAGGCAGGGTGACCCAAAAAAGAAAGAAAATCCCCAAAAAGAAAATACTTTCATCATCATTCAACACTTTCACCACACTCGCACATTATCACTGTTTTTGCAGAGGTGCTCAGAATACAACAGTCTAGAAGCATAAACATATAAAGATACACAACATATCCCTCCAAACTGCCAATATCCCAAACCCCTCCTTTAAAGTGCAGGCATTGTACTTCCCATTTCCAGGACTCAAGTCCGACTATATGAAAATAACCGGTTTCCACTGAATCCCTTCACTAAAAATATACCCTGCTCACAATCAACAATCGTCAGGTCTCAAGTAGCATGCGTTAACATTAGCGTACTATAACTTGCACGTGGAGAGTATTACAAAACCCCTTTAACCCTCTCTCCAACCTAAATCCACCTCCCTTCCTTTCCAAATTCTTAGCTATTTTCCTAGTCTTCCTGTTCATTCTGAATGACCACCACAAACGCCCTTTGCACTACTTTAAATTCCTTTTATTAAAGTCACAACTTCTCTAATTTGCCAATTTTACTGAACATAAATATTTATCAAATAAGACCCTAAAAAGACACTGTGTAACGTTCCCGCAGCTGACATTACAGCCTCTCCACTCATATGACATCTTGTTACGACCTCAGACTTACAAGCTACTCTGCCCATATTATACCTAAATAATATATACTAGAGCTGATTTCCTTTATTCTGTTTTATTTCAATATACAGTACACTACTGTATAAACATTTAAAAATATACCACAAATGGTACAAAGGTGACAATAAAACAATATCAAAGATGGTTGACACAAACCCACTAACCATTATAATATGCTCCTCACTTAGTGACAAATTCATTTAACAACGTGGTCTTAGGAACAGAACTCCTTCATTAAGTAAGGAGAGGCTGTATTTCTTCTGTTCATTAGTCATGCCTCAAGGCCTCTTCTCTATTACAATTGCCTTCCATTTTAAATTCTTAATCACACAAAATAGAATATTTACTCATTTTTCGAATAATAAAATACAACCAGGAATGACTGGTCATGGTTTATGAGACAACAGTAACTGAATTTAACCTAGTAAAAACCCATAAAAGAGACTGTCAGTGTAGGGGAGCCATACCTGTCCTTGTGAAATTTGTTAAAAATATTTCTGATACTTTGAGCCAAATTTCAAGCTACTTCTGATCCTGAAAAAACAGAATAATCTCAATTTCAGTAAAATATCTTCTATTCAATCCAATGATAACAAGGAACAGCCAATAAAACCATAAAAGCCTTATTAGAAAATATCTCAGAATTGCTATTTTAAACCAAACACAAAGTCAGAGATTTGTTTTTTCATTATGCACTGCATGGAGCAGGATTTATTTTATACAATGCACGCTCACTGTGCAGACTCATTCTCTCATGTCTAGGCCAAAATTTACCATTCACAGCTTATCTGAGGGAGCTGAGCTCAAAACGCAGATCTACGTAAACAACCCGGACATCAAAAAGTAGATCTATGGATGATGAAAGCCATATTAATTTTACACTTACAGCATAGAGAAATCCGCTCACAACTCCAACTCCTACTGAAGATCGTCTGGTTGACATCGGGGCAATCATCCGCCATTCATAGGCCTTGGAGTCATACATTTCTGCACTATTTAAGCCGGTAGAGCCATCAAAGCCACCTACCTGAAATAAATGTACGTGAAACCCCATCATATTTCTCCAGTTAATTAAACAAATATTTTTAATGTTACTCAGAATCCACTGTAATTTGGTTATAATTTTTTTTTTTAACAAGTCGGCCGTCTCCCACCGAGGCAGGGTGACCCCAAAAAGAAAGAAAATATCCCCAAAAAGAAAATACTTTCATCATTCAACACCTTCACCTCACTCACACATAGTCACTGTTTTTGCAGAGGTGCTCAGAACACAACAGTTTAGAAGCATATACGTATAAAGAGACACAACATATCCCTCCAAACTGCTAATATCCCGAAACTCCTCCTTTAGAGTGCAGGCATTGTACTTCCCATTTCCAGGACTCGAGTCCAGCTGTATAAAAATAACCAGTTTCCCTGAATCCCTTCACTAAATATTACCATGCTCACACTCCAACAGATCATCAGGTCCCAAATACCATTCGTCTCCATTCACTCCTATCGAACACGCTCACGCACACCTGCTGGAAGTCCAAGCCCCTCGCCCATAATAACCTTCCTTACTCCTTCCTTCCAACCTTTTCGAGGACGACCCCTACCCCTCCTTCCTTTCCCTACAGATTTAAATGCTCTCCATGTCATTCTACTTTGATCCATTCTCTCTAAATGACCAAACACCTCAACAACCCCTCTTCAGCCCTCTGACTAATACTTTTATTAACTCCACACCTTCTCCTAATTTCCACACTCCGAATTTTCTGCATAATATTTACACCACACATTGCCCTTAAACAGGACATCTCCACTGCCTCCAACCGCCTCCTCGCTGCTGCATTCACAACCCAAGCTTTCACACCCATATAAGAGTGTTGGTACTACTATACTTTCATACATTCCTTTCTTTGCCTCCATAGGTAACGTTTTTTGTCTCCACATATACCTCAATGCACCACTCACCTTTTTTCCCTCATCAATTCTATGATTAACCTCATCCTTCATAAATCCATCCATCCATAAAGTGGATATCTCCTACAATGAACAAAAAATCTGGCTAGAAAAAGGCTCAACACATGTGCATTTAATGGGGTGGCCAATTAAAACTGCCAATAAAATGGATTGACTTTATTTAATCGCAAGTTTGCATGGTTTGAGGTTTGTCATGGATGTGTCCATTTTCAATATTCCAGGGCAGCAGGCCCAATGACTTCCTGCATCAGTTTGTAAATGTCTGCGTGCGCTCATACCATCGTAACTTTGTCTCCAATTTTTCCTCTGGATTTACAATGTTTTTAATCATTTTATTATAGTACTGTGTACAGTGCAGTTAACAATGGCCTCTAAAGTAAGTGATGGTGCCAAGAAGAAGCATGTGAACTCAACTGCTAAGCAGAAACTTTAATAAGGAAGCTTGGAGGTTGGGGTTTCAGTGGCCCGGGTATGTGAGAAGTATGGTGTAACAAATCAGTGTCAGACATTTGTAACAGCAAGGAAAAATTTACACAACATGCTATGAAGTACTGTGTAGATGCTAACCAAAAAGGTTCTTTGATTAATTCTAGGAAGCATGTGAAAATGGCCCAAGATACAAGGAATGAAGAAGATTTGCATAAATGGTATGCTTTACCTGTCTCTCACACCATGCATCAGCAGTGATATTGCTCGAGTTTACAGGTCCTCTGACTCAGAATAACTTATTCTGGTTCACCACTAGACCACATGTTAATACTGTACTGTATTGTACCTCTATAAGTTAATCAATCCACTTAAAAACCTAAGAAAAATTACTGTACTGTGCCGTACTTTTAGCTCCTTTCCTTTTAAAGTACATTTAAAGGTACTACTGTATTGTACTAGTTTATTCTTAGTATTCCTGGAGGTCCATCAATACAGAAGACTTAGTCTGTTTTATTGGGTGTTTCTCCATGCCCAGTAGTTTTAAGTAGACTACATCAGCTTCATCAAAACATCCCTAAAACAGACACCCTTTCCTCCCTATTAATCCATTTTATCAGACATTTACAGAACTACATACAAAACAGAAGCATTCCAAAACAGAACTGCACAACAGTACAGTATGTGAATTTCACAAGTGTTCTTACACTTGTGAAATTCACCTAAGTATCACAGAACATACCAAACAGCTAATCATCACAACTGTGTTTTCAGCCTTAATAGTCTGCAAGATATATTCATACTGTACACTTGGTTTATTTTTCAACACAATACATATAAAGTATAATGAATCCTGAGTTATGAGATTTTTGCTCTTACAGTGTAAGCAAATTATAACCAAAATAATGGAAACTTGTTGCACAACTAATGCAATTAGTACAAAAAATTTCACAAAAACATTAAATTTTGCATGTTTGTCCTAGATTAAGAATTTCATCTCTATTCTCATTCCTTGCACCCCATGCCAGTTGACAACACAGAAAAATGTTGAAGCCTTTTAATATGCAAGACAGACACAGCTTTGTGAAACTCTGTCAGTAATGATTCCGATGTAAATACACTGTATTCTGAAACTTTCAAGAGGAACAATGATCTAATCATAAAGCTGTACAGAGGTAAGATTCAATGTAGTAAAACAAGGGAAGCAGGAAAATTAGGCAGATGATGCACAGCGACATCTGGGTATCTAATATGTTAGTTCATAATTAATTAGCATTGCACCGAATATAACTGAATGGTACAGGAGATATAATTATGATTCACAGTGTAGGAGCATAAAAGTAAGTATTGAAAATTTTACATGCAGCCAAAGCAATCCCTTCATGATGTCTTCAACTGTTTGTCCTGACTATGTGGGCATTCTGGGTTTCACACTTACCATATTTTTGGCTGTAACTTGTCACTCTCGTTTAAGACGTGTCAAAAAGAGGCTTTTCTTTACTCAAGTGCTACTATAGTTTAACAGTGAGAAAGAGAGAGAGGGAAGGAGAAAAAAAACACAGTAGACAATGCACTGTATTTTAAGGTCAAATTTATCAGAAATACAACCTATTCTTAGGTATAATATACAAATTTATAAGTGACAATGTAAATGATGACCATTATTGGGAAGTCCAGGAATTAGAATTGCAATTCACAGTTGTGTGGAAATGTGTCAAGAGATGTCTGATACTGTAACTGCTCCTTCATGCTCTGTCAACACACACTCAACTTTACATGTTATACCCTACGTACACTCAATAGGATTTCACATATATCCTACTTAACACTACAGTTTATGCTTAGAAAATGGTTTTATTCTTAAATGTAATTCTGTGAAGATTTGGTAGTGACATTTTGCTTCTTTGGGAACTCATCTGAAACACGATGTCTAAGTAACTGACGACTTCCCAGACACCAGAAACACTGTACAAAAATTAAATCAAATTTCATGAACAAATGATGGCTGGAATTTTGATGCTGTGTCATATAAAACTACATATTTTTGCTTATATTTGTAAAATGCCTTTATTCATTATATGCTTGGTTTCCAAGGAACTGAACAGAATTAAGGGGCTGATTCTTATTATTAGACAGTTGGGGGTCATACAACACCTGGGAGGAGGAGAGTGGGAGGCAATCAGATGTGAAGTAAGGAAGTGCAGAGTAACTCCAATTTCCTGGATCAAGAGCCCTTCACCATCATCAAGACACCTCCTTAAAGGGGTAAAGGGGTTATTGCAAGATGAATTTTAGAAATTTTATGTGTGATGTATGTCTTAGAAAACTGGAACATAAGAAGAGAGGAGCACTGCATGAGGGCTTTTGGCCCACGCTTGTAGCTCCTTATATCTGGGTCTGCATTGCAGTTTAGAGTCCTTATGAAGTGTAGTAGTAATAGTAAAATGTGTGCCTGGCACTTATATTTATGAGTAAGTCAGTACAGTGAAGAGCAGAGATTAATTGTGCTAACATGTATAAGTGGAGAAATTGGGAAAAGGTTACAAACAAAATTTTCACACAGACCAACTAATTACACTGCTCAATACTTACAGCATATATACAACTGTTGAGTGTTGCTACACCAAGTGTAGACCGTCGTGCTTCCATGCTGGCACAAGATGACCACGAGTCCCGAGTTGGGTCATATACATCCACTGTGCGTACACGTAAAGACCCATTGAAACCTCCAACAGCATATACTTTTCCATTGATTACAGCTATACCACACCTGAAAGAAATATATCAAAAGTAAAAGGAAAAAGATACAAGTTCAGAGATACAAGGTACAGAAAATCCTAGCCCTCAGTGCAGATAAACCCTTTATAATAAACATCCTCTTTCTGTATTATGTACATAAAAGCTAACTGTTTGGGAAAGGCATAAATCCTCAATATAACATACTAATAGGGTGAGATTATCCAAGTGTTTGTTAAACCAGAATATAGTTAAAAATATAGCAGAAAGTGCACTAAAGTACTTTACTGTAAACCTAATATAGTACTATATACACTATTTACAGAATACTGTATACACATTGCAAATATACGAGTTAAAAATATAATTTATCCAATGGTCTTTTGTCTGCTGTTTCAGGTCCATTATATTGAAGGTTTATTATATTACACAAATTATAACATGTGAATGCTTAAAACAAAAGATCATATACTTTCCATGGACTTCTAGAGAAGAAACATATGGTAAAGGTTTAAATGAAAACTGGACATACCTGCAACGTCTTGTTGGCATTTCTGCCACAGGAAACCATCGTTCATCCTTAAAATCATAACATTCTACACTGCGTATTGCCTTAGGAGCCTGTCCACCAACCACCAAAAGAACCTAAAAATACAGAATTTTGAAAGAAATATGCAATTCAAATAAACAAAAACATTAAGCAACAATACTTTAAGGATGAAATAATGACAAGGTTATACTCACCTTTGCCGATACACTTTGAGCTTTCATGGAGCTCTGTATGCCAATCAGGTTATCATAATTTTTATAAAACCTGACAATGACATACAGTCTAGTGGTTAATAATGATATACTATCATCCTATTGCGAAAGTCATAGCAGGGCTTTTGCTAGGCAATCAAACTTCAAAAAATATTAATAAACCCCAAAATAGGTAGTAGGTTGTTAGCAACCCCAGGGCAGTATTACCATCCTGCCAAATGAGTGTGAAACAGAAATCTATAATTGCTTCATACAATGGTACAATTGCTGGTGTTTTCTCTTTCTGTCTTAAACCATGTAAGAGGATAGGTACTACTTATACTTAGTTCATACTACACATGCACTTGCACATGTACATATATGTGTACAAACATTAATCTGCATTTCCTTCTGGTTTCTTAACAGTTTTTGTTCTTATGGTATTTTCTCTCATCTACATGGGGAAGTGGAGAACAGTTCCTCTGTCAGCAATGTGTGTGCTGTAAGAAGTGGTCAAAATGCAAGGAACAAGGGGCTAGTTGCCTCTTCTATAGCTTTTTACTAAATAAAAAAAAAAGAAAAGGAAATTTTAAAGGTGGGAAGTTTGAATGGATGTCCTAGCTCTGAGCAAGCCAAAGCTAAAGGGGAGGTAGAGAATTTCAATGGGAAGGAGTGAATGAGATTAAATCGGGAGTATCTGATAGAAATGGAGCAAAAAAAAAAAAAAAAGAGTAGCAGAATTGCTCATTGGTCTACTGTGGAAGGAGAAGGATTTTTTTTTTTTTTTCAACAAGTCTGCCGTCTCCCACCGAGGCAGGGTGACCCAAAAAAGAAAGAAAATCCCCAAAAAGAAAATACTTTCATCATCATTCAACACTTTCACCACACTCACACACATTATCACTGTTTTTGCAGAGGTGCTCAGAATACAACAGTTTAGAAGCATATACGTATAAAGATACACAACATATCCCTCCAAACTGCCAATATCCCAAACCCCTCCTTTAAAGTGCAGGCATTGTACTTCCCATTTCCAGGACTCAAGTCCGACTATATGAAAATAACCGGTTTCCCTGAATCCCTTCACTAAATATTACCCTGCTCACACTCCAACAGATCGTCAGGTCCCAAGTATCATTCGTCTCCATTCACTCCTATCTAACATGCTCATGCACGCTTGCTGGAAGTCCAAGCCCCTCGCCCACAAAACCTCCTTTACCCCCTCTTTCCAACCCTTTCGAGGACGACCCCTACCCCTCCTTCCTTCCCCTATAGATTTATATGCTTTCCATGTCATTCTACTTTGATCCATTCTCTCTAAATGACCAAACCACCTCAACAACCCCTCTTCTGCCCTCTGACTAATGCTTTTATTAACTCCACACCTTCTCCTAATTTCCACACTCCGAATTTCCTGCATAATATTTACACCAAACATTGCCCTTAGACAGGACATCTCCAATGCCTCCAACCGTCTCCTCGCTGCTGCATTTACACACCAAGCTTCACATCCATATAAGAGTGTTGGTACTACTATACTTTCATACATTCCCTTCTTTGCCTCCATAGATAACGTTTTTTGACTCCACATATACCTCAACGCACCACTCACCTTTTTTCCCTCATCAATTCTATGATTAACCTCATCCTTCATAAATTCATCCGCCGACACGTCAACTCCCAAGTATCTGAAAACATTCACTTCTTCCATACTCCTCCTCCCCAATTTGATATCCAATTTTTCTTTATCTAAATCATCTGATACCCTCATCACCTTACTCTTTTCTATGTTCACTTTCAACTTTCTACCTTTACACACATTCTCAAACTATCCACTAACCTTTGCAATTTTTCTTTAGAATCTCCCATAAGGACAGTATCATCAGCAAAAAGTAACTGTGTCAATTCCCATCTTGAATTTTATTCCCCATAATTTAACCCCATCCCTCTCCCGAACACTCTAGCATTTACTTCTTTTACAACCCCATCTATAAATATATTAAACAACCATGGTGACATTACACATCCCTGTCTAAGACCTACTTTTACCAGGAAGTATTTTCCCTCTCTTCTACACACCCTAACCTGAGCCTCACTATCCTCATAAAAACTCTTAACAGCATTTAGTAAGTTACCACCTATTCCATAAACTTGCAACATCTGCCACATTGCTCCTCTATCCACTCTATCATATGCCTTTTCTAAATCCATAAATGCAATAAAAACTTCCCTACCTTTATCTAAATACTGTTCACATATATGCTTCAATGTAAACACTTGATCTACACATCCCCTACCCACTCTGAAGCCTCCCTGCTCATCTGCAATCCTACATTCTGTCATACCTCTAATTCTTTCAATTATAACCCTACCGTATACTTTTCCTGGTATACTCAGTAAACTGATTCCTCTATAATTTTTACAATCTCTTTTGTCCCCTTTCCCTTTATATAAAGGGACTATACATGCTCTCTGCCAATATCCCTAGGTACCTTCCCCTCTTTCATACATTTATTAAACAAAAGTACCAACCACTCCAACACTATATCCCCCCTGCTTTTAACATTTCTGTCATGATCCCATCAGTTCCAGCTGCTTTACCCCCTTTCATTCTACGTAATGCCTCACATACCTCCACCACACTTACATTCTGCTCTTCTTCACTCCTAAAAGATGGTATACCTCCCTGGCCAGTGCATGAAATTACCACCTCCCTTTCTTCCTCAAAATTTAAAAGTTCCTCAAAATATTCTCACCATCTACCTAATATCTCCCTTTCCCCATTTATTAATTCCCCTACTCTGTTTTTAGCTGACAAATCCAAACTTTCCCTAGGCTTTCTTAACTTGTTTAACTCACTCCAAAATTTTTTCTTATTTTCATTAAAATTTCTTGACAGTGCCTCTCCCATTCTATCATCTGCTCTCCTTTTGCACTCTCTCACCACTCTCTTCACCTTTCTTTTACTCTCCATATACTCTGCTCTTCTTATAACGCTTCTGCTTTGTATTATTATTATAATCAAAAAGAAGCGCTAAGCCACAAGGACTATACAGCTTCTGCTTTGTAAAAACCTCTCATAAGCTACCTTTCTCTCTTTTATCACACCCTTTACTTCATCATTCCACCAGTCACTCCTCTTTCCTCCTGCCCCCACCCTCCTATAACCACAAACTTCTGCCCCACATTCTAATACTGCATTTTTAAAACTATTCCAACCCTCTTCAACCACCCCACTACTACTCTTTTCCCATCTACCTCTTGCTCTAACTGTAGCTACAACTAAATAATGATCCGATATATCAGTTGCCCCTCTATAAACATGTACATCCTGGAGCCTACCCATCAACCTTTTATCCACCAATACATAATCTTAACAAACTACTTTCATTACATGCTACATCATACCTTGTATATTTATTTATCCTCTTTTTCATAAAATATGTATTACTTATTACCAAATTTCTTTCTACACATAGCTCAATTAAAGGCTCCCCATTTACATTTACCCCTAGCACCCCAAATTTACCTACTACATTTTTACCCACTTTAGCATTGAAATCCCCAACCACCATTACTCTCACACTTGATTCAAAACTCCCCACGCATTCACTCAACATTTCCCAGAATCTCTCTCTCTCTACACTTCTCTCTTCTCCAGGTGCATACACACTTACTATAACCCACTTTTCACATCCAATCTTTATTTTACTCCACATAATCCTTGAATTTATACATTTGTAGTCCCTCTTTTCCTGCCATAGCTTATCCTTCAACATTATTGCTACTCCTTCTTTAAGCTCTAACTCTATTTGAAACCCCTGACCTAATCCCATATATTCCTCTCCATTGAAACTCTCCCACCCCCTTCAGCTTTGTTTCACTTAAAGCCAGGACATCCAGTTTCTTCTCATTCATAGCACCCACAATCATCTCTTTCTTATCATTTGCACAACATCCACGCACATTCAGACTTTCCACTTTGACAATTTTCTTCTTCTTTTTCTTTTTAGTAATCTTTACAGGAAAAGGGGTTACTAGCCCATTGTTCCCGGCATTTTAGTTGACTTTTACAACACGCATGGCTTACGGAGGAAAGATTCTTATTCCACTTCCCCATGGATATAAAAGGAAAAGTAATAAGACCAAGAACTATTAAGATAAAATCAAAGAAAACTCCGATGAGTGTGTATAAATAAATGTGTACATGTATGTGTAGTGTGACCTAAGTGTAAGTAGAAGTAGCAAGACATGCCTGTAATCTTGCATATTTATGAGACAGACAAAAGACACCAGCAATCCTACCATCATGTAAAACAATTAAAGGCTTTTGTTTTACACTCACTTGGCAGGACGGTAGTACCTCCCTGGGTGGTTGCTGTCTACCAACCTACTACCTAATGAGAAGGGAGTATAAGTATAAATTCAAGAATTATGTGGATTGGAATAAGAGTGGGATATGAGAAATAGAGTATGGTAAGTGAGTCTGCATATGAGGAAGAGAGGTGTGCTGAGGACAGGGAGAGATTCTGGGAGATGTTAAATAAATGTTTAGGGAGTTATGAAGAAGGTGAGAAAATAATTGTTGTCGGGGGACCTAAATGCTAAAGGTGGAAAAACTGTTGAAGAGGGCGTAGCAGGTAAGTTCGGTGTCAAGAGAAAATGATAATGGAGGTCTCTAACTGAACTATGTTAAAAAAAAAAAGAGGTTCGGTAATGCATGTTGTAAGAAAAAGAGGATATGATACAGGGTGTAATAATAATAGTCTGTCTGACCTCAACAGAACACATGACCATAACACAAGACACAGATTACTCTTTGATGTTCCTCGTGTCCATCTCACGCTATGCAAAAACTCAATGCACATAAAAGGCCCTAAAATCTGGAATTCATTACCTGTAAA